AAAGGGTTGCAGTTTGCTTTGTTTTGCATTCTATAGTGATTTAAGGATGACTGCTTTTAGTACCATAGTTACATTATTTGTGGCGACCTGGATGTATATTTGCTTGCGCATGCACAAATGAGCTGATGGCTAATCATGCCTCCGGGACAAATCGGGTAGTGACAGCCAGAGATATAAAAAATAAAAGCAGGCTGCTAGCTCAAGAAAAGCTTATAGCAAAACAAATAAATGAGTGCTTTAAATAAAAAAAAATAAAAAAAGAGACAAAACAATGCGTTCTTTTGCACCATGTTTTTTCTCCAACACTATTTTCATTTGATCACTGCTGCACGTTATGATATAGAAATGTTAATTCACTCTCTGAAAAGATGTACTAAACAAAATTTTAGTATACACAGTGTCGTATACAAAAGTGTATACAAAATGACAATAAAAGTTGTCTTATTCCAGGTGGTTTAGAAACTATTTTTTGTTTGTTTTCTTAAAGGTTTCTCTCTGCTGTGGGGTTACACCTGCCTTGGTGCGCAAATAAAAGTCTTTACTCCGTGGGGTTCATATCCTCACAGTGCTTCCTTCATGCATATGTGCATTTACCTAAGGAGATAAATGTGCTTAAAAATACTGTTTCCATGGCCATCTGCAGAAAGATTTTAGCGGAGAGAAAGAATAGATCTCAGTCAAATGGCCTTTACGCTCTTAAGAAATTAGCTGGTCAGCCTGATTTTCTCTGTGATTTTTTTTAGACTAATGACCCATTATGTTGAAAAACACTGGCAAGAACACTGGTTAGGGATGCCATTTGTTGTACAGATCCATTTACTGAAGTACAAAGTAAAAAATGATAAAATAATCTCATCCTTTGTCCTGACATTCTGAAGTCTAGGAGGTGTTACAGGGTTCCCCCTTATTAGAGGATCCCTAAAAAGATCCTTTGTCGCAAATGCACTCCTCACTCCCTTGAATTCCAAAATGTAAAGCACACATACATATCACCTGAATTGCTCAAGTTTCCTTAGACCTTTTTTCTTCATTTATGTTTCTTTTATTATTATTATTTGTCAGGGTCTTTATCACTGTCTGCCTGGTTAGCCAAATATCTATTCTATTCTATTACCTATACAGGGAAAAATATTACTTGATTGCTAATGACATTGGAAATACAGTAGGATGATGAAGATTCTCAGACATCCAGGTCATTTCAAAAACGTTAAAAAACAATCCCCTGGAATTAGTTTCCAAGTTTAAAGAGGTTTCCCTTCCCATCCAGAAATCTTTTTTAATTCAAAATGTCAGAAATAGTGTTGAGTTCGAGGCTTTTTTAAAGTAGACCAAAAACAAAGCCTTGTTTTGGCTTAGAAAATTTAGCAGGAAGGCGGGATAGCGGGAAGGAATCAACTCAATATTAATAATGGTGTCATGGATGTTGTAACAAACAAAATCATGGTGCATTAAAATAGTGATTTCCACATCCTTTATTCCAATATTTTATTTTCAAGGTTGCAGAAATTTTTGGTGTACAGTAACAATGCACTTTGTTTATTAAACTAGTGCTAAAACCATAATTGGAAAAATTGATCATGGAAATAATAACTAATTTAGTAATCAAATGCTGGTTAACTGCATTACACAATTTAAAAAATAAGAATAAATAATACATTGTATTTAGGATGTAATATTTACTTTTTCCTACAAATCTATGAAGACACTGTTGCAGTAATCAATTCTACTAAAGACAAATGCATGAATGAGTTTTTCTACATTATTCCTTTAATCCGAGAAACATTCTTCAGGTGATAAAAGTCTGACTTAGTAACTGCCTTTTTGTGCCTCTGAAGGTTCCAGGCTGAGTCCACCATGACATTGACATTTCTGCAATAATCAGTGGTTTCTAGCTGTAGAAAAGCTGAAGCTGTGAGCTAACCCTGGAACTCTCCTCCTTTGGTCTGAAGATTATTACCTCGGTTTTGTTTTTGTATAGTTGTAGAACATTATGATGCATCCACATATTGATCTGTTCTAAGCATCTACCCTACACTCTGATGGGTTTACTGTATGGTCACTTGGTGACAGGGGGAGTGGTGGCCCATTAGGGGGAGTAGTGGCCTAGTGGTTAGGGCATTGTGCTTGGATCCCAGAGGTTCTGAGTTTGTGCCCTACTCCCACGGACTGCCACTCCGGGTCTCTGAGCAAAACCCTTAACCCCAACACTGCTCCCTTGGTGTTGGACAATGGCAGCCCACTGCTCTCCAAGGGGATGGTTTAAATGCAGCGAGTTGAATTCTATTTTATTCTGTTATGTAAAACTGTGTGTCGTCTGCAAAGTTATGGTAATTGCTCTTGTTGTTTGCTATAATCTGAGCTAAGGGGAGCATGTAGATGTTGAATAAGACGGGCCCCCTAATGGAGCCTTGAGGAACCCAGCATGTGATTTTTTTCTGGTCTCTGATTTAAAGTTTTCTACTGACACATAGAAGTCCCTGTCCTTCAGGTAGGATTTAAACCAGTCCAGTGCTGTACCAGAATGGACGACCCAGTTTTCCAGACGCTCTAATGAAATCAAGTGATTGACAGATCAAATGTTGCACTGAGATTCAATAATACCTGCACCTTTGTACGTGGAATATTTGCATCTTCATGTGCCAACTCAGACAAGAATTCACTTACAAAGCTGGAAGTGTCTAGCTTCTTGCGACGGGCCAGGTCTGTAATGTTATCTCCGTTGTAGTTGATGCTCTCCATGCAGCCTTTGAAGTTTTTTCTTCCACCTCCCACAGGCTTCCCACTGTATGGCATCCCCCCAAAACTTAACTAGAGAGACAGGGAGAAGGGGACAAAGTGGAAAAATAATAAAACATAAATGATTTTCAATTCGTTTAGACATTTACATGTTTTATTTTAAAGCCAGTCGTTATTTTGTGAAGACACAGAGGCACAGTGTTACAGAATAAGATGGTAGTTAACACTTCTTTAAGAGCCAAGTTTCAGATTAGTTTTTCTTTTCTTCAAGTTTAAACTTAACAAGTGTCATTTCTGTTTCAAAGTTCAATGCGAAAGAAATACAATTACATAAAGTTGGCTAAAGAGAATACATATATGATGTATTGGACAACATGGGGTTCTGTTATGGCTACCAAACTGATTTACTGATTATTAAAGCTCATTGTTTTTTCAGTCTTTTGTCAGCAGGCAAGCTTTAAATATATTATTTAAAAGAAAACATGTGGAGGTGGAAAATATCAGACAGGCTATGTCAATGAATTGAAATTTTTCCAGAACAACATTTGATGTGCTGAGGACCAGACTGAAGCCAGAGTGACTACAGTACTTAGATGCCTATAATGATGATGTGGGTCTGCAGTTAAAGACTGGGTGAGCGTAGGCAGGGAAATCTTTTGATGACCTCTGCTAATGCCTGTAAGGAAGTTTACTTGGAAAAAATCTAATAATACTTTTAATGCCAGTAAAGAGATTCTGATCTTGTTTGACTTTTGTTAGCTGCCTTTTATCCTTCTTTTACCCATTTAGCTTATGCTTTATACTGTACCACTCCCTTCATGCAAGACTGTTCTACTATCTGTTGGACAGAGATTGTGGCCAACTTTGAAAATATTATTTCAGTTTAAGGTCACTCATAAAGCTACATTTTTAGTTGTTAAGAGATTTTTCTTCCCTGTTCTTCTAGGCATCCTATATAAAAGATCATCACAATAGGTATTGATTTCTTTCCAAAGAAATTACCAATCTACCAGTATCTTATCACAATACCTTAAGTTAATCGTTACCATGGAGAGGTATTTTCCTCAACAGCAAGACATTGCAAAGAAGGGTTCTCTGCACGGAGCCCTTTTGAACAACTTTGCAAGCTGTTCAGTAAATAACTTAACCCTGATGCAGCACTCTGTGCAACATGATATACCAGTGATTACAGTCAGTGGAAATCAAGAACATCCTTCTTTCTCATCATCACTAGAAACAACACCAGAGTGGCTTTCTTTAAGTGACAAAAAATACAATTTGCATTTGATTCACCAAAAAAAAATCTAATTTTGCTCTCAGCAATCAGCTGATGTGTAATTCAGAGTTTTGCTTTTTTTGTTTTAGCTGTGAGCCATATTCAATATAGGCCAGTATAAGAATCTGTATGTATGTCCGTCCGTCCATCCATCCATCCATCCATCCATCCATCCATCCATCCATCCATCCGTCCATCCATCCATCCATCCATAGGCTACACCCTGGACAGGATAGGCTGCCAGTCTATCACAAAGGTCTATACATGCAGAGTACATGTTACCTGACATGGAGTGTGTTTGGTTGTTTGTGAGAGCTGCTTTTTGAGCAGCCACTGTGGGCTTAATGAGAGTGTAAGCTGCAGAATGGGGCCAGCATGGCTAGACCAGCTTCAAAATCTATAATGATAAACCTCCATCGATCCACACCATCTACATATCATGAATCAACTAACACTTCTGTTCCTTTATTCAGCAGTCCCGAACCAGATATGCTGACACAATCAAAATTAATAATCACGGCTTCACTGCCAAAGTTTTGTTTTTGTTTATTTTCAATGAGGAGTGACAAAATAGTGGCTGTTCAAGACTTTTCTACCATTGCTAATGTCATGGTGGTCTTTTAGTAAAGGTTGCCTACAGGGAAATTTGTAACCAAATCTTTGCCACTTTTATCCAAAACCTTACTTAAGGCAAAGCTATTAGTTATCATAGAATAGAATAGAATAGAATAGAAATGCCCTTTTTTCTACAATGGAGAAATTCAGGCAGGGGCAAAGAAAGCTTACAGGTACACTCAAGAATAAATAATTTCATAAAAAGAGCTAATTCTAAAAGTTAAACTTTACAGCATAAGGGAAAAAGACATTTTAGGAAAAAGTCCTATAATGGATATGTTATCTTATCTCTTATACGATATCTTATCGTTGACAAATGTATGAATTGATACAGTATACCCCTAGATATAAATGCAAACATTTGTATTTAACATTTCCTCCAATCTACCCCATTTTGTATTTTTGGCAGCATTGTAAAATGAATAAAAAGAAGGGTACATGAAAGAAAAACAGATCTGGTTGAAACTTAATGAATTCAGTTTCAGCCAACATTAAAAAAAAAATCAATTTGAGCAAAATCCACCTTTTACACCAAAATATGAAAAAAAAGCCTTGCTCAACATTGCCACTGGAACTGAGAGAAAAAAGCATCAAAGGAAATACACAATGGTTAGTGGGGAACAAATGTGATGTGTAAAGCGTAAAGGTTAAGACATGGACAGGAACAAACAAGCTGGAGTGCGAAGTGCTGAAGGACAGTGCTGATGAAAATGTAAACTGTTTCATATTTTTTCTACAGTTGTACATGTGTCTTTGTTTTTTTTTTTTTTCTTTCAGACACAGTTCAGGGCCCTAAAGGAGGCTAAGATAATAGAAGAGGCTATGGGACTGTCAGTCAATGTGTCTGTCTGTCAGTGTGTGAATGCCTGCTGTTGTTTGTGCTGTGGCTATGCTCCAGCAAGCTCTGTAATTACTGCCAAGGGTGGACTTTGATGCACCCGGATATTTAGTCTACAAGCTGGAAGCCGAAGAGAACCTAAAAAAACAAAACCCCCAAAAAACAACATCTCACACACAGAAAATGGGAAGTCTGAACTATAGAGGTCCACTCTGACTAATAGTTGATCACAATCAGCAGTCTGTAAAGACAATTAACATGCATTCACAGATCCACAGACAGATCCCTCCTAATAGCACAGAAATATCCACCCTCTAAAGCTACAGAACAGCCGGTGCTAGAGATTTCCCTGTAGATCATTTAAGCCAACAGCTTCTGTTCTGATTGGACTGTGCTTTGCCTTGCCCCTTTTCTTAGCCTCCCATCTTAACACTGGATTAGTTTAGCCATTCCACCACATCCATTTAAAGGTCAAACCATAACAAACAAACATGTATCAAATCAAACACACCACAACCAAACACATTAAAGGACAACCATTGTGTCACGTTTGGTCTAAGCGTATGCAGTAAAACTGCATGCCGACTTTTACAGCCAAATCTATTCCACATTTCTTTTTTTCAGCATTATTTGTTAAACACAATGCATTTGTTAATTGTTGAATTTAATCATTTGTGAATATAGATTAGCACCATTGCACAAAAAGAAGCCAATATTTAATTTAATTCCTGTCAAGTATCGATGTACTGTACTGACCACCAGAGATGAGAAGTTAAAATGCTGTTGCAAATCAGTGAAGTGATGGGGCAGCAATGGTGATGAAACAGCAACACTGGAAAGAAAGTAACACAGCATCATAATGGAATTCTAATACCATATATGCAGGGTATACTGCCTTGAAGCTTAGTGATTGTAAGACGACCTTTTTTCGGCCTTAAGGTGTGTTTTTTTTTTTTTTTACAGGGTTTAAAAATACATCCGTTCATAGTCCTATGGTTCTTTTTTACATTTTGACAAATAATAGAAAAAAAGATTGGATTTTCTTTTGGTATAAGCCTAATGTCATAACCAACAAAGTGTGATGCAAGGGCTCCACTTAATATAATATTACAAATGTATCATTATCTCAATTTGAAAGATATGAAAATTTGCTTGGAATACAATATGTAATAAAGTATGCAATAAAATAAGTCTGTCTACGTCTAATATGTATATTAGTTATAATAAACAGTATAAATATTTGTTGGTATGGGATTTGAAACAATTTCTAAAAAACATTTGGTGATGTACTTTTTTTAAATGTGTTTTTTCTTAAGGAATACAACATTAAGTGTTTAATATAAAACAAAACTCGACTCTCCTGTGTTAAAGCTGCAAATGACGTCATATGAAGGCTTTTCAATAAAGCATAACATAATTACTCCAAAAACACATAGACATTAAAACTATTTAATTAACTATTCCTTCTTTCATCCATAGTCATATAATCTAGATTATGCTCACTACATTGTTGCATGTCTCATGTTTTCCTAGAAATGTGCAGCCCTATGTTCTGGGCTTTGGTAATCAGGCTTCTTATGACTCAGTGCTTTGTGCAATTGCCTTTGTCTACAACTACAAGTTTTACAGGTTGTGGTGGAAAATACATTTTCTGCCACATACCTTTTTTGTATGCATGTTCAGTGTTTAATTTTGAACTTTTCTGGCCAAAGTCCCTTATACCGCTTGTTTGCTGTGTAGCTGACAAACTGGAAGACTCAACGTTATTTCTTTCTACAAAGGCTTTCCTTTTGCTAGACTTCAATAAAGGTTGGATTTGCAGAGCGAAATTACTTCACAATACAGTCTCCATCCTTTACTGTTGATGTCAGTAGCACTCCCAGAGTTACCATGGGCCTTTTGGCTGCTTCTTTAATAACAACTATCCCCACCTGGCCTTTTAAATTACATGCACAGTATCAGTTTGGCTGGGTTGAAGCCATGCAACAAACTTCCCATTGTTTAGGTGATGCACTGAACATTGCTTCTTGCGATCTGCTAGGGAAATTGTTTTTTGACCTACAGCAAGCCTGATTCTTTACAAACCTATTGTGATGAAATATATTCAACCTTTTGTATGTAATCTGAAAAAACAAGTTATAGATATTTTAAAAGACACTGTTCAATGCACTATACTGCAAATATTAGTGAAATAAATGCTATCCAGTTTACGCATACTGCTCATGTCCATTCTTTGTAACATGAATACCAAACAGTTTTTTTTTTCTATTGGAGGTCTTATGGTGTCAGATGTGGCAGAGAAACTCATAAAACCACAAAACCAGATTTATTCATTCATTTTCCATACCGCCTTTATAATATTCAGGGTCAGGGAAGAATGGAGCCTATTCCTGCTGTCACAAGGGGCACAGATCATCAGGCCGGGATACCACACTCTTGATCATTCTAGAATCAGCAATTAACCTAACATGAATTGCAACTCAAAAGGAAACTAGACCACCACGAAAAACAATCTACACAGAGGGGTACATTTAAGCAGAAGCAACCCTGCACAGCTCATTTTAAACCATTGATCCCCTTCCTTTGCAGCCATAATGCTAATCACGACACCACTGTCCACAAATAGGAAGACTTATTTTTTTTCAATATTGCCAACTACTTGGTGTGTTAAAAACCATACATGCTATCTATATTTACAAAACAATGCCACTCTTTTATAGAGAAGTGGGTGACTTAATAGATGGTGCAATGATTGATTGACAGTTATTTAGCCTGTGAAACTATTACACTCTTATTTTTACTGAGGGTTCAGTCATGCATCACAGCCAAGTGGTATATGCTTCACAAAGTTACATATTCCATGTCAAGTCGAGACGGATGAATAAATGTGATGTTTTAGACATTGAATGTTTTCATGGCCTGAATGTTTTAATCATGCTTAAAGAAACAACAACTATATGACAAAAAAACTGTCTGATGATTTGACCATCCAAATGGGCTACTCTTAATTAATCAAGCTTGTAGGTTGTTGAAAGAATTACATGTTAAACACAAAGCTTCAATTTGAAAATGTTTGCATGTTTTATTTTATATAGACTGAAAGCACTAACTCCTTATATAAACAAGTACTTATTTCTGCAATTTGAATCAAGTTATTATTCTCATTATTCCCTACAGGTCCTTCTCAAAATATTAGCATATTGTGATAAAGTTAATTATTTTCCATAATGTATTGATAAAACTTGAATATTCATATATTTTAGATTCATTGTACACTAGCTGAAACATTTCAGGTCTTTTGTTGTCTTAATACGGAAGATTTTGGCATACAGCTCATGAAAACCCCAAATATCACAAAATTACCACATTTCATCCAACCATTAAAAGAAAAGTGTTATTAATACAAAAAAGGTCAACCTTCAAATAATTATTTACAGTTATGCATTCAATACTTGATCGGGGATCCTTTTGCAGTAATTACTGCTTCAATGCGGCGTGGCATGGAGGCAGTCAGCCTGTTCCACTGCTGAGGTGTTATGGAGGCCCAGGATGCTTCAATAGCGGCCTTTAGCTCCTCCAGAGTGTTGGGTCTTGCTACTCTCAACTTTCTCTTCACAATATCCCACAGATTCTCTATGGGGTTCAGGTCAGGTGAGTTGGCAGGCCAATTGAGCACAGTGATACCATGGTCAATAAACCATTTACCAGTGGTTTTGGCACTGTGAGCAGGTGCCAGGTCGTGCTGAAAAAAGAAATCTTTATCTCCATAAAGCTTTTCAGCAGATGGCAGCTCCAAACCCTCCTCATAGCTAGCTGCATTGACCCTGCCCTTAATAAAACCCAGTGGACCTACACAAGCAGCTGACATGCCACCCTAGACCATCACTGACTCTGGGTACTTGACACTAGACTTCTGGGATTTTGGCATTTCCTTCTCCCCAGTTTTCCTCCACACTCTGGCACCTTGATTTCCAAATGACATGCAAAACTGAGCAACAGTCCAGTTCTGCTTCTCTGTAGCCCAGGTCAGGCACCTCTGCCACTGTTTCTGGTTTGAATGTGGCTTGACCTGGGGAATGCGGCACTTGTAGCCCATTTCCTGCACACGCCTGTGCACGGTGGCTCTGGATGTTTCTACTCCAGACTCAGTCCACTGCTTCCGCAGGTCCCCCAAGGTCTGGAATCGGCCATTCTCCACAATCTTCCTCAGGGTCCGGTCACCTCTTCTCATTGTGCAGCATTTTCTGGCACACTTTTTCCTTCCCACTGAGGTGCCTTGATGCAGCACTCTGGGAACAGCCTATTCGTTCAGAAATATCTTTCTGTGTCATACCCTCTAGTTTGAGGGTGTCAATGATGGCCTTCTGGACAGCAGTCAGGTCAGCAGTCTTACCCATGATTGGGGTTTTGAGTGATGAACCAGGCTGGGAGTTTTAAAGGCCTCAGGAATCTTTTGCAGGTATTTAGAGTTAGTTTGTTGATTCAGATGATTAGGTAAATAGCTCGTTTAGAGACCTTTTTCATGATGTGCTAATTTTGAGAGATAGGAATTTTGGGTTTTCATAAGCTGTATGCCAAACTCATCTGTATTAAAACAATAAAAGACCTGAAATGTTTCAGTTTGTGTGCAATGAATCTTAAATATATGAATGTTCAAGTTTTATCATTACATTATGGAAAATAATGAACTTTATCACAATATGCTAATATTTTGAGAAGTACCTGTATGCTGTGCTATGTGTTGCATAATGGTCCATATAGGTATAGTGCTAACCTCATAGTCCAAATCAAGATGATCAAATTCTCCATTAGTCCTGAAGTGTCGAGTATGTCCATCTAAGGAGAAGTTAACATTGCGACGGTAGCGTTCAATCACCACAGAGTGCCAGTGATTGTCATCTAGGAGACTTCCAGTGGTCACAGAAGTATGACCCAGGATAGAGCCATACTGGTTACTGCCTGTAAGACACATGCAAAGAGAGTAACAAAACATCAACATTAACTTATTGAATGTTTATAGATGTTTGAGATTGGCCTGTTTTTCCAGTGTAGTCCTGTGTCTCTGACTGTGACTGGCTGGATGTGCTCTCTTCATCCTCTGACATGGGAGCTCCTTTGCCTGGCTGTGTTTCCTTGATGTGGCCACCTTTTACAGTTGCTTTTTGTATTTCTGCTTCTGTCTCCTTGAACCCCAGTCGGACTCAGCAGATGGCCGCTCACACTGGGCCTGGTACTGCTGGAGGTTTCTTCTCATTAAAAGGGATTTTTTCCTCTCACTGTCACTACAAGCATGCTTAGTATGAGGCGTTGCCTTCGAGTCAATGAGTCGATGCAATCAACCTGTTTTCCTTAGATAGAAAACTGAATCAATTTGACTGTATGATCTGGTGAACTGTAAAGTGCCTTGAGATGACATGTGTTGTAAATTGGCGCTATATAAATAAACTGAATTGAATTAAATGCACTGAGGTTTTAGGTGGTGAAAAGGGACCAAATCCAAAATCTGATTATTTTTTTCGAAAAACAAACGCATGAAATTAAGAAGTATCAGGTGGTGTAAAAGGCAACAGTTTTCAGAGAGGATGACGTTACAAAAATCAGAAGACTGAAATATAGCAACTTCCATCAGTATCAATCAGAGATTTAATAAAGCATAAGCCCTGAGAAGCCGTAGGTTAACAGGGATTTTAAGACACGAAGCAGAGTACACCTCCGCTGTTGTAAAATCTCTGTAACCCATAGAATCAAGGAGCTTATTGCTCTATAAAATGTTCATCCTTCATATTACCAATAAAGAAGAATAAAAATCCCCCCAAACATACACACTTTTAAAACTTTGTTGGTAATAATGAAACAACACAACCACAGAGTTAACAGCATGGTTAGCAAGCAACCAAGGTTCTCTTGGGAAGTTTTTTGCACCGTCTCTCGCCTGAGATTACTGAAGATGACATGGTGCCGGAGTATGGTCTAAAATGCTAATTTATTTAGAAACTTGTAAAAGTTTTTTTAGATTTTGTAATGTTGGTTTGCACCTCCCAGCCACCGTACTGGAGTTTCAACTGGCTGCTTTACAAATTTAAGGAATGTTATGCCACACGTTGCGCCTGTTAATACTAGCACAGCTATATCTAAATGTGGGTCACACTGTATTTCATTACAACATGGAACACGGCTCAGCCAATCACATTTAGGAAGGGAAAACACGTGTTTTACAAAAAGCTATTTAAAGACAAACTGTATTTTATAGAATATCTAATATTTGAAGAGCTATCTGGTATTACTTCAAATTATATAGTTTTTATAAATACCTTTTTAAACATACGGGAATTCAACTGCTACCTGAGAAAAAATGTCTTTAGATGACTTTTTCATTCCCACCAACATGACACCAACAGTTTACTTACCTAAGTTTATCTGCAAGAGTAGCTTGGCCTTACGGAGCTCCAGGGTGATGTAGTCGCCCTGCTGCCCTTCCCCATGGAGAATCACACCCTCGCTCTCTGATGTCTTAAATCTCAATGCGATCACATCTTTTATAATCTTCATCTTCTTCACCTTTAAAAATGTTAACACCAAATTCACATTTCATTGTTCACATACACACAAAAATAAAATAAAATGGCCGTTATTTCAGTACTTATATTTTGTTGGAAATTTTAGTAATTCCTGAGAACCTTCATCAGCAAATTTTAATAATGAATTTATGGATATTGTACCTTGAAACGATATGAAATGACTCCCTGTCCATCAAAGTTGATAACGTCCGCCCCTACAAAAGAACAAAAACATACAGATAAATCATGTGAAGAATAGAGAGAATACAAATTTTTATTACAAAATATATGCTAAGACGACCTCAGGACTACTGAACACCAAATGAATGACTGGTTTTGAAATTTTTGTAAAATAAAAACCACAATGAACTAATTACACCCTTTCATTCTCTTCTAAGTACAAGTGCAGAAAAAGCTGTAATTACTATTAAAATTGTGAGAAAGCATATTCTACAGCTGGTATTTAGTTTCTTTTGTTCAGACAAGTGCAGAAACATGACAGGGCAATGAAACAAGCAGAAAAAAGAGCAGAATGACTGAGAACATGCCTTAGTATACTTTGTTTTCATGAATATTAACAATAAAATAACAAATGCTAAAATATGCATGAGTATAAATAATAGAATTACTGATGTCCACATCAGCTGAATGTTGTCATTTGTACATGTTGACAAAATGATACAGTGTCTTGCCTTACAAGAAAATGAAAAAGAAAACAGTTTATGTTTTGACTCCTAAAGCTGCCGCACTCAAGATAAGCACCAAAAGGACACCACAGACTGAATGCAATTTTTGGCCATTCAGAGGCGAAATAAAGTGTAGTGGCTGAGCCACCTCCTCCATCTTTTTATCTTAACTCAAAGAGTTCAAGTGGCTAGTGGGAAGAACATTGGTGTGTCTGTGAGAGAGATGGGTTAGAAAATACAGAATGCAAAGGGTAGGATAGAAAATCTGACCGTTATTGACCCATTCGTATAATGTTTCCCAGTCTAATGCATCTGTTTGGCTTTGGACAGTTCTAAAACATTCGGACACTTAGCTAACCTTTTTTAGTGATCAATATTAGATTCCACATAAACTTTCATGTTCTACCTTGTGGCTTGGTTCATACACCCGATGAATAAAGCTCATTGCCAGAATACGTGCAAGAGCACCAAAGGGCATTAAATCAATTCAGCAAAGTGCACCTATTTCAGCACCTTATTTTCAGCTAATACCGAGTTAAAGAGATTTTATTCATATTTTCTTCCCTCAACTTTTTTTTTTTTTTACATAATTAGTAGGCAAGAAATCTCACAGGAAGAAAATGTGTTTCAGAATTAAATACAGATGCCACAGGATGTAAAAGACAATGGAATAAGGAACCTTTTTAACTGAATCACAGTGAGATAAAACGCACAAACGAATTAAGCCCAATCAGAATTTAAAACTATAAATATTTTTAGCTAAATATATTTTACTAAATGAACAGGAAAAATAATAAGAAAGATGAATGCCAGGTTATATTTGCTGGCTCTGTGCTGGTTAGACACTGATAATGTCAAATAAACGAGATGTTTCTGGCTGCAGATCTGCACTGTCAGGACCCAGACCTACACTGTCAGGATGCTTCATTGCAGACTTGCACAATGCGGTCTCCTGCACTGTCAGGACTTGAGGTTTATTATGAAGGTTTTATTTGAAGCCTTCAGGAAAAGCGCATAGCATGTATATGCTGCCAGATTTTATTAGAAGAAGAGGACATTTTTTTGCGAGATGAGTGCTAGCTTAAATGAATAGAAGATCCTTGTGAATAGATAAATAGATTTCTATTATGAAAACCCAGCAAATAATAACGAGAATGTAAAATGCTTCCAGTATACTATAATTTACTTTAGAAAGGCTTGGAATAAACTTCCGGTTCTGAAAGCCCAGGAAACCTCAAAGTGCAGGTCTGCAACGCAGGGTCCTGACAGTGCAGGTCTGCCGCTAAAATGTCTTGAAATAAACTGTCGTCAAAACAGTGACTTCCTAAAATGATTTTAGGAGCATTTTCATCTCTGGTTTGGCCTTAAAAAATACTTTAGACACCAATAAAAACCCCTAATAGCTTTTATATACATCTATCTATCCTCTCACAGAGAAAACAGGCATAGTGTGAAAAAAATCAAGCAGCTGTTAAACTATGTTGTCATGAATCTTTTTTTTTTACTTTATACATTAATTTGTCACAAAAATCCTTGTTGATTAAGCTTCAAGGTTAAATAAAACTAATTAGACACTATTATTTAACAGTGTAAATTTTGCCTAAGAGACGAGACCAGGGTCACACTGAGGTCAGTCAAGTACCGCATAGAGTAGGAGGTTAAAATGTGTCCATGGAAACAAGCCTGGCTTTCTGAGCAACAAATAAAACAAAAACAGATAATTACAGTATAATATATACCCAGCATGGAAAAGCAGCAAGGTCCAAAATTTTTAATAAAATATTCATAACTTTTTTATTACATCTTTAATCAATAATTATGGATCATATGTTGTTTGTACACACATCAGTGTGTGAGTGTGTGTGTGTGAATGGGTGAATGAATGTAGTGTAAAGCGCTTTGGTCTCCTAACTTGAATAAAGGCGCTATATAAGTACATACCATTTACCATTCACAAACACAACAACCCTAGAGGTGATAGTAAAACTGCTTCTGTCAGGTTTCTGTTTCTGTTATGTTTTTCTTTTGAGTATTCAGTCTTACTTTACTCCTTGTCTTCTAGTGTTTAGTCTTCTTTTCTCCATGTTTTATAGTCCTAGTAATTTAATTATCATTTTGTTGTTATTTCCAGTCTTCCAGGTTTCTATTTGTTGCTCTCTGCTGCCCTCTCATGTTCTCCTTCTTCCCTAGCTCTTTCCCTGTCTTGTTCTGTACACACCTGCTCCCAGTTTCCACATTAGCCCCCTCTTTGTCTCAGTCTCCTTTAAAAGCCCTCTCTCTTCAATTCCCCTTTGCTGGGTCCTCGTTAAACACCGTCAAACATGCTCCAACTCCTTCTCTCTAAGCCTTCCTCCTTATGATTGTGATTCCCCTGATGTCTCCATGGTTTCTGGTACGTTTAGACTAGTTTTCATGTTTTGGACACCTGGTTTCATATTTGTTTGGATTTTGTTTTGTTTTTGGATTGTTGGATAACCTGCCTCTGTTTTCTGTTAACTCATTATTAAATCCACAAGAGATTCACCTCGGCCTCCCTGCCTCTGCTTTTGGGTCATCTAACCATAGCCAAATCGTGACAGCTTCATCATGTCCTAAAAGAAAGATGCCCTTATTTAGTGCATCTTCCACAGATCCTTTCTCTAAGAGAAAAAATAAGAGGCAATTTTTTTTTGTTGTTTTCTTTTTTAAAATCAAATCCAGATAAAAAAATAAATTAGCAAGTTTTCAACAATAATAAAGCTGAGGACTGGACTTTTGCTGCTTCTCCAGAGTTACATTGAGCTTCTGGTTAGCTTCTATTAATAAGACTCATCTTGCTTAGTCTATCTGTGTAGGTGGACAGCCTTGCTGGTAGGTTCTGTAGTCATGTTATTTGTTGTCTTTTTGAAGGAGGATTTAACAATGCTCCAAATTATGCTCAATGTTAAGGGTGTTTCAAACTAAGCCTACTTTAGATTAATTCCATTTCTTTCCTAAACTGTCTGGATAAATAAAATGAAATTAAAGGGGTCGTAGAATGCAAAACCGAGTTTACATAGTCATAGATGAATAATGATAGTTCACGGAGTGAAATGGAAGTACAGAGAAGTTCAAATCCCATCGACACCTCCTTTCTCTGCAAATCTCACAATTCCAAACTTCCACCATATAAAGGGCGAATACTAACGAAGAAGAGAAGAAGGGTGGGGCCTTATTTGGTTCTGGTCTGTACTTGAAATGTACATATAGAAAAGCCCACCGGATCACCGGCCCAAGAACATGAATAGAGGTCTCAAGGATGTAAGACAATAGTTTAGCTGTTAAGCCTATAGTTGTGTTTACTTCCACAAGAACTACATTCTGCACTGTATTCGACCAAAATCGCGGAAGATTGTGAAATTCCCCTCAGACATTTTTTTTTTTAGGTATGAAAAGTAGGACATGTCCGGGAAAAAGAGGACGTGTGGTCACGCTACCACAACAATTTCAATGTTTCAGTGAGTGAGTGTTTGTTGCTATGATGCGTTTTTGCTCAGCAGCTTCCCTAGTTGTAAACCAACCAATCAGTGCACAGCTCATCTAAATATTCATGAGCATACCATAAAAGGAAGGAAACCTGTTGTTTCATTCTAGGGCTTGTAACCAGGCTTGCATTAGGGTGCATAGAACAGCAGATATGCCATTTTCAGCCCAACCAATATTACACATTCAGAGACCTTAAGGACCAGCACCAAATATATAATATATGTATAATTGCTCTATGACCCCTTTGAAATAAATACCACATAATCTTTTATCCTTTTTTTTTTTTTTTATTAAGCTCAGGAAGCATTTCTCTAATTTTCTACTTCAAAGTTATTCACCATTATGTGCTGGTCTATCAAACATAATCCAAATAAAATGCAATATGGCTTTTAGCTATCCCCTTGATAAATTAAGAAAAAGGTTTGTAAATACCTCTGAGACCCACAGTTCTTCAGAATAACCTCATGACAAACTTAGTGTGTTCATTTATAAAATATTTTAACTCTAGCTTCTTCTGACTCTTGGTTATGCAACACAAACATATTATGACCTGTCTCAATACTGATCTAATTGATTTCTCTTGTAGAGTTTACCTTAATCATAATGGAAATGAGCATGTAAATTCCCAAGCATGGTGGATCATGTCTCCTTTATAGCCCTTAGCTTTGGCACAGACACATACACAGATGTACACATACACGTTCACTCTTATTGCACAGTCTTAGATGAGTCATAATATGGCATTGCTTTTAATTATCACACACTCTGAAAGCCCAGAATTATCATCTACAGCCAACATATTTGGTGATTATGCTTGGAACATAACATCTATATTTATCTGCCTCCTTCTCCTCCTACTACTACTCCTTTGTGCTTTCCTGGTTTCTTTTTTTTTTGGTCATAGACCCACAATATACCTCTCCCCTGTTACATCTTTCCTTTGGAAAGAAGACAAACATTTTAAGAGGGGCAGATTCTAAGCAGCCGTGGAGTAGTATGAGAGAAGGATGGGTAAATGAACAGAC